AAAAAAATCTGGGCTTTAAAATGACACCTGCTCCCAGTGCTGGCTCCTTTTCACCAAGTATGAATTTCCATGCATTTCACAGATCTCTAAAGGTTCCTGACTTTCTTCTGCTGTTGAATCATGTGAGCCACAGACTTATTAACTTAAGCCTTAATCCTTATTTGAAGCTCTCCATCAGAAAAATAGGATTTGGGGGAGGAATCTTGAAGCTGGTTAGGAAGGGCATGAGTGAATACCAGAAAAGGTGGAGTCTCCACATTGGATCCTTGAGAGGCATTTTGAAAGGACTGATGGTTCAAGGTGGATGGTGTTGTGATAGTAGCTAACTTGTCACCATGTGTTGTCTCATGTAATACAATCCCCATGACATAAAATAAGAAACTAAGTCTTAGAGGTGTAATATGCCCAAAGTTACTTAGCTAATGTGAAGAAGCTGGTGTTCCTGGGATAAAAATGTGTGCATTTGTCACACTTTAATATTTGATGTGGCCTGACAATAGTTGCCTGATAAATGTGCACTTAAGTGAATGAAATAGCAGATGTAGAGAATGAATATGCCTGGTAAGGACAGGAGGGAATGAGACTCGGGATCTTCCCACCCCTGGGGAAGATAAGGTGGGGCTTGCCAGGCTTGTCTTTCTTGTCATGAACAGTGAGTACTCAATGTTTCATTTTTCTGGAATTCCACGGAAGAGGAAAACACTCTTTCCTCATCTACTCTTCTATAGGTCTGGTGTTCCTAGGGCCCAGGTAGATAATAGCACCCACTAATGCACTATGTACTTCTTCTCTTCCTGGTTTATACAGATGAGGCCATACTGAGAGGATGGGAGAAACAATGTGTAATTCAGGTTATTTTGGAAAATTGCCTGACCAGTTCTAAGCGTGGCCAGATGCTGGGGTGCTCTTCTGAGTTGAAGGAGCAGTTAGGGCACCGATAGGGAAAAGGGGCAGAGGAAGGTCTTCTTGGGCTTCTCCTCTAGGTTGCCATTGTTCATGGGACTTGGCTCCAGGGTGCTCTTTCATGGTTCCAAATTTTTAGTTCTGAAGAAGGAAAATTTGCTTAGTTCAATCTCTATGAGGTATCTGATTAAAAAAAAAAAAGCAGTCTTGGCCAGCAAGCCCTGTGATACAGAGATGGCCATCAAGAGGCCCCTTGCACCAGTTTTGGGGAAGTGTACCAAGAGAAATAGGCATGGCATGAGCTGAGCAGCCAGCCTTGGAGTCTTTTCCACAGGTATAAAAAACTGTGGGAATACCTCCTATTCACTTGTTAAAAAAGTGGTCAGGGGAGCTTCATATTCAAAAAAAGTAAGCCTGATTGAGGGGGGCAAGGGTGTTTATAGAGAACTGTCAAGATAATTGATATGCCATGAATTTAGGAACACTTACCTGATATGACATTCTTCTAGTGAATATTGGCAGTATGTTTTATAACAATAATTTCAATAACTCCATAGTTTTCATATGCAATTTCTAAAACATGAACTTCTTTTTGCCCCATAACCTACACAGAATTAGCCGGGCCCTGAATTCCAAATTGACTCTTACCTGGTCTGGCAGTGTGCCTTGGGCGCAGCCTTCTCCTTTCACCACGCATGGTTGGAAAGCTTTGTCAGGAGCTGAAGAAAGGCGTTCTTATGTGTAACATGTTTTCTTAGTTTATTTACTATTCTCTTGGCTGCTTTTTCTGACTTCCTGGTATCCGTCTTTCTCTATGTTTGCTTCTGAGTTACCTGCCTGATGCTGAACAGCAGTGGGGCATGAGTGCACTCTGTACACACACAGGTAGCCTGTGGAGTACCCGTTTCCAAGTACTCTTTCCCATGTGTGGAGAGATTTTACATGTTGCACTTTTGAGATTACGTAATGACTTCAAGTCCTTGTGGGACATTTTCTTCCCAAAGGAGAGGACCCTTATTTGTTGATCCCAAAAGATATGGGAAAAAGTACTAAGTGAGTATTCCAAAGTATTAGGCCTTTGTTTCCTCATGGTGGTATTGTGAGGTCAGAATGACAGCACATGTATTGGAAGACTTTGTGAACTGCTAAGTGTGAGGGATGTGGCTGCAGTGTTGAGACTGTCCCTACTAATCTGAGGCCATAGGAATTGGTACAAGGAGGACCACCCCCTCTTTGCTTAGATCTTCCCTGAAAGGATTGCCATTTGCCATTGTTTGTTGAAATCCATTCATCCATCCATCCATCTATCATTCATTCATTCATGTAGCCAACCAACAACTATTGATTGAGCTCTTATTATATGACAGTGGGACACATGTGAATAAAGAACATAAGATCCTACCCTTCTTTGAACTTACATTCCAGTGAGGGATACTGAAAATAAACAAGTCAATAAAATATGAATTACTCGTGTACCACTTGGTGCTCTGGACCCCAGTGACCTTCTCTCTCATACCTTCTGATTCTGTCATGGTGTATATCAGACTGCTTCCTATCCTACACTATGAGCACTGTGAGGGCAGAGGTTGAGTTAGGTTCACCATGTTTCTCAGATATTTACTTTAGTGACTGGTGGACACATGAAAGGCACATGATTGGTAATCAAACCATAGTCAAAGAGGGTAGAAATGAAAAATTCCAACTGTCACCAGTTTCCTGTTTATCTTTCTTGGAGTTAACCTATTTGTGGTATGTATGTATGCAAAAAATATATAAATGATACATCTGTTTAAATGCCTTTTTTACCTTTTGTTTTAGAGCTTCCTTATTTTTTTTTTAACAGCTCTATTCCTTTATATGTTTGCACCATAACTTACTTAACCAGTTCCCTAGGGATGTTTGCAGTCTTTTGCGTTGCACACTGTGTATTTTTCAGCTATTTGCATACATGCAAGTCTTTCTGCATGGCAAACTCTACAAGTGGGATTGCTGAATGATAGGGTTGGCATTCAGGGTGGATTTCTGAAGTAAAGGCAGAAAAAAAATGAGGTCCAAGAGTTGACTAATGACACCGGTCCCTGTGAATGTTTTGCTCACAGGTCTTATGGCCTCTGATATCAGTTTCTTTGTTTCTGCACCAGGCTGGAGATACCATGTTCAATCGAGCGAAGCTCCTCAATATTGGTTTTCAAGAAGCCCTGAAGGACTATGACTACAACTGCTTTGTGTTTAGTGATGTAGACCTCATTCCGATGGATGACCACAATGCCTACAGGTGTTTCCCACAGCCACGGCACATTTCAGTTGCAATGGACAAGTTTGGATTTAGGTAAGAGATGTTCGCCAGAGTGTGCAGTAAACTCTTATATGTTGACTAAGAAATACAGTTTTTCTAGGCTCTGAAGGAGTACGCTGTCTCTGAGAAATGACGGCTTTTTAGGCATAGAGTCAGTTATCATTTGAGAAGGAAAAAGCAATCCAGAAATGCCTATAATCTCTGTGTATGCAGATGAGAACAGTTTATTAATTATTTATTTAATTTTTTAATTTTTTAAATTGTAGATGGACAAATACCTTTATTTTATTGATTTATTTTTTATGTGATGCTAAGGATCAAACCCAGTGCTTCACACATGTGAGACAAGCACTCTACAACTGAGCCACAATCCCAGCCCCAAGAACAGTTTTTTCAAAAAATATTTTTAGTTTAGTTTTTTAAATATTTTAGTAGATGTTCACAATACCTTTATTTTGTTTATTTAGGTTTTTATGTGGTGCTGGGGATGGAACCCAGTGCCTTATGCATGCTAGGCAAGCGCCCTACCACTGAGCCACAACCCCAACACCACCCCCACCTGCAAACCCCTCAGAAGAGTTTTTAATGTTTGGGATAACTCTTACCTTTAGGCCCCAAATAGTTGCTAGGTTTTCTTGATTTTTGCTCTTCCCTGCCCCCACACAGTTTGGAAAGCAAATTGAAATCATCCCCTCATCACCACCACTGAATTTTTGAGGTTGGATGCCTCAGCAGAATTTCTTGGCACTTTAAGAAGGAACATGATTCTGTTTCCCAACAGAGCACATGCTTCTGCTTAAGCATGGAGCCCAAACTTTTCCACCAAAATGCCTCTACTGATGAGGCTAGTGATACCTGTCCCCGGGGGCAAGGGTATAATCCAAAGCATTTTGACATTCGAAATGTGACCTTGTAGTCCATTGTTCTGTTTTAAAAGTAAATAAATATGCCTTTTATCACTTAACTTATTCATATTTGTATTAATATAAAATTCTTTTAAATCACCCATAAGTTGACTAACATAACCGGTCCCTTCTTTGCTTTAAGTAGACTTGATGCCCCAGGAAGGTAAGCTTCAGGGTACCCTGAATGTTAGGTACCCCTATTTTAGGCCAAATAACCAGTAGAAACTGGGCTGTGCAGGCAGCAAGTCCTTTGTATAGATACAACTATTTTCTGTCAGATTCATTTTGTTCTCATCCTTTTTCCTACCCTCCCTGGCTTGGGGCCATTAAGGCTGGGGGTATATATAGGTCTGCCCCAGATCAAAGCTATTCAGGTACTAAATATGCTGAAGGAAAGTAAATGGAATATCATTTTCTGACTCTGCTATAATCACTTCGGGTCCTCCCTCTGTCCCTCCCTTTCTGTGCATTTTCCTCTCTTTGAAATACACAGATTCATTCCTTGACCCATCTTGTTCTTCCAGAATGGGGCCCAAGTGATCACCCAGTTCTTTTACATAGCACCATGTTGGTTTACAGAGAACCAGTCAGGTTTGGGGGATGGAGCAGGTAGGTAAGAGAAATCAGCAAAGGCAGCAAAACCAAAGCTTATCAACTCAATGTATACTTCCACTGAAGTAACTAAGAATCCATTTTTGTAAAAACAGTGATTATCAAAACACCCTATTGGTCTGGACACCTCTGCTGTTGGACAGTAGTGTAAGGTATGCCAAAAGGTAGATGGATGACTTGGCCTCTAAGTGATGACACCTAATTACAAATAAATTACCTTCAACTTATTAAGAATCTTTGCTTGTGGATATTTGTGGTCAGAATTCCTGAATGTATTTGACAATCATAATTATATCTTGAATTCACACTGTTCTATATGGTTTGGGTGACTTCCCTTCAAAGTCTGAGCTGGAGTTTTTCTTAATTTATGTGATGGCTTTTAGTCTCTTTGGAGTCTAGAAAGAGTCTAAGATTGGGAGCACAGACTGAACCATTTGGTAGACCCACAGGAAGGCCTTTGTATGGCCTTTGAGTCATGTCCTGATTCTTGATCTTTCTCATCAGTGCTTATTCTGTGTCCTTTGGGAGTCCACTGTTCATAACCATTGAAATATTGAAATACAAAAAGGTAAGGAAGGATGAGAGCCCCAATGCCCTACTACTTGGAAATATAAAAGTAGATTTGTTGTTATGCATTTTGCTAAGTTGGGATAAAGAAGAAATTTCAAAGAAAATTTTATTTGAGCAAATTTCCAGAAAAGGCGCCTCAGCTGTTAGGATTAGTGTTTAAGCAGTATGCCTTTAAAAGAGTGAACACTAGATTGGTAGATAGGAGCAGGTGGGAAGGGGCGCATGATAGAGTAGGCATAGGAAGACTTCAAAGCAATCTCAGATTCAGGACCTTCTGAATAAGAGCAGGACACATAGAAAGCAGATTCCTGAGCCACAGTGGAAGAATTAGGCTTATGCCCACTCTTGTCACTGACTGGTTTCTAGATAACCACAGAAACAGCACTATTATTAGAAAAAGGAAGATTTTGTGTTTTGATACCTGTGTCTTAGGATAATGTGAGCCCTGACGTAAAATCAAAACAGGACAGAGGGTTGGGGTTGTAGCTCAGTGGTAGAGCACTTGCCTAGCATGTGTGAGACCCTGGGTTCAATCCCCAAAACTGCAAAAAAAAAAAAAAAAAAGAAGAAGAAGAAGAAGAAGAAGAAGAAAACCCTCACAAATCTCTTGTCAAAAAATAAAAAGTAACTTTTAAAAGTGTTAATTCAGCAAGCTCTCTTTCAGGAATGTCAAGGCTTACTAACCACATGGGTCCTCTGTTTTTTTTTTTTCCTCCCAGCCTACCTTATGTTCAGTATTTTGGAGGTGTCTCTGCTCTAAGTAAACAACAGTTTTTGACCATCAATGGATTTCCTAATAATTACTGGGGCTGGGGAGGAGAAGACGATGACATCTTTAACAGGTAATAGTCACGCCTTAGATCTCTTTCTCTCCTGTGAATCTTCACTTCCGGTTTTTGAACCAATGCTTGGTTTTTCTTCAAGGATTGACCCTCAGGTGGACTGTAGTCCCCAGTCAGCCTAGATGCTTAGATTTATGTTACTATAGATCCTATAGGTACTTATAGATCCTATAGCTACTTATCAGGATCTTTAGGAAAAAATGAGCCAAGATTTTTGGATTAGCCTTGGAAAATGTAAAATGAAAAACAGCATGTCATTGTGGTCTGCTTTCAATGGGAAACAATTTTCCTTGGGAAGAATCCTGACTTTCCTCACAGAATCTTTGCTGCTGTATCTTTATTTGGAATACTATTACCATAGAGAAGATAAAATTAATCCAGTGAACTAATAGACCTTTACCTTGTGGTTATTATTGCAAGTAAAAACCATCTATCAGAGGCATTTAAAATTACACTCTGCTCAATCCTCCCTGATAAAGAGCCTTCAGTCTTGCCTATCAGCTCCTTCTGGGAGCCAGTCTGAACTTGTCACTAAGTTTGATATTAGAATATACCAAGGGGCTGGGGTTGTGGCTCAGGGGTAGAGCGCTCGCCTTGCATGTGCAAGACCCTGGGTTCGATCCTCAGCACCACATAAAAAAATAAACAAGTGAAATAAAGGTGTTGTGTCCAACTACAACTAAAAAAAAAAAAAAAAAGAATATACTGAGGTACAGCTAGCTTTCTTGAATTGGAATACATTTATTTGATTTCACAGATGGTGTCTGTCAAAGCAACACCCAAATCATTCAAGGTTTCCATT